CGATATAGTCTTAGTGGTACCTCGCCGCGACGCGCCGCGATCCGCTATCAGCAACCTTGCCGAGTATGAAGCCATACTCGCCGGCCTCAGGGCGGCCCAGGCCTTGAAAATTAAAAACCTTTATATCTTGGCCGACTCACAGCTGATAGTCCACCAAATTAACGGACGCTACGCCGCCAAGGATCCCAGGATGGCCCTATACCTCGAGGCTGCCAAAGAGCTCTTATCAAAATTTCGGGGGACCAAGGTGGTCCAAGTCCCCCAGGCCCTCAATGTTCGAGCGGACGCCCTCTCTAAGCTAGGGTCAACAAGGTCAGGAATGAACTCCAGGCCTATCTATATGGATACCTTGGAACATCCCAACATCTCCAAACCATTAAAGAAAGTCATAGAGATAGAAGACCCCACACCTCCATGTTGGCTAGATCTCATTCTCCTCTATTTAACTCAAGGCATCTTACCCGAGGATCAGCTCGAAGCCAAACGATTTTTGAGAAACTCTCGTCGCTATCTCTTGATAGGAGACCAACTATACCGAGTATCTTACACCGGCAGCAGCATAGGACCTTATTTGCGATGTTTGTGGCCATCCGAAGCCCTCTATGTACTCAAGGAAATTCACGAGGGTATATATGGGAACCACCCAGGAGCTCGAACCCTGGCACAGAAAATCATCTGACAGGGTTACTACTGGCCGATTATCCTAGCCGAGTCGACTAGGCTCGTGTCTCATTGTCAAAGATGCCAATACTTCTTATCCATCCTAAGAACAACCGCGACCGAGTTAACTCCCATCTTGAGCCCTATACCTTTCGCCCAGTGGGGCTTGGATCTGTTAGGGCCCCTCCCCTTAGCCTCAGGGCAAAGGAAGTTTCTCATTGTAGCCATCGATTACTTCACTAAGTGGATCAAAGCTGAACCATTGGCCAGGATCGGTGAAAGTAATGTCACCAACTTTGTATGAAAATCCATCGTCTGCCGCTTCGGCGTACCTCGGTTGCTTATCACTGACAACGACACTCAATTTGATAGCAAGGGCTTTCGCGACTTCTGCGAAGAGTATAACATTCACCTCAAATTCGTCTTGGTAGCACACTTAAAATCAAATGGCATTGCAGAGGCTGCCAACAAGTGCATCCTCCAGGCACTAAAAAAAAGGTAGACACTGCCGTAGGACGTTGGGTCGAAGAATTGTCGAGCATCCTATGGTCGTACCGAACAACCCATAAGAATCCAACAGGGAAACCCCCTTCAAGCTAACATATGGAGCTGAAGCAGTAACGCCGGTTGAAGTGGGCATGCCGACTATTCGGTTGCGGCAATTCGACGAAGACCTGAATTCACTAGGCCTCCGGGTCAGCCTCGACCTTCTGCAAGAAACAAGGGAGAAAGCACTCCGTACTCAGATCATTAATCAACAACGGATCGCTCGGCATTACAATAAGAAGATTTGACCCAGAAGGTTCATGGCTGGAGACCTTATCCTCCGAAAGCGACCTTCGATAAAGATACCCGGCAAGGTAAGCTGGCTCCGAATTGGGAAGGACCTTATACGGTTATAGAAGAGCTAAGAGCTGGCATTTATCGGCTGAAAGCTCCAGATGGGCGAATCCTCAGTAACCCATGGAACATCGAATACCTACGACGGTATTTCTTTTAAAAATTCCAGTTTAAACTTCTTTTTTTTGAAAATTCCCTGTGAAGAATGCATGCCTTAGGTAATTGGTAATATATCTGATAAAACGACTTCAGCCAAACTTTTTGCGTTATCATAATAACTTGAAAATGGAAGACCTAGTCAGCTAAGCACCCGACTTTCCAGTCGATGAAAAGCCCTTGGTACTTCCTCAGGGTAAGATCAAGACACAACCCTTTGACCGACTCCTACAGTCGCCTCTCGGTCCTAGGAGAAAATAGAAGACCTAGTCAGCTAGGCACCCGACTTCTCAGTCGATGAAAAACCCTTGGTACTTCCTCAGGATAAGACCAATGCACAACCCTTTGGTCGACTCACACAGTCGCCTGTCGGCCCTAGGGGAAAATAGAAGACCTAATCAGCTAGGCACCCGACTTCTCAGTCGATGAAAAGCCCTTGGTGCTTCCTCAGGGTAAGACCAAGACACAATCCTTTGACCGACTCCCACAGTCGCCTCTCGACCTTAAGGGAAAGGTAAGACCCGACCGGCTCTTTTGGGCCTAGGCACAACCTCGGGGTCGATCCCTATATCACCCTCTGATTGAGCAAAAATAAAAGAAAAATCTTTAAGAGTTTTTAAACACTCAAGAGCAAACCTACTTCTTCATTAACCTCCTTACAAAGTCAAAAGTACCATTACAATGATAAAAAAAAAGAAAGAGAAAAAAGGGGAGGGAAAGGAAATATAACTCGTTCTCATTTCTCTTGACCTACGAGGTCCACTGGAGGTGGAGCGGCCGTATCGGTGAAGGCTGGGCCCTCTTGGCCCTGAACGCCGGCGTCAGCGGAAAGATCAGGCATCATAGAGGTTTCAGTCCCCCCTCCTGCCAGTGGAAGGACAGTTGTCGTTTCCTCATCAGCGCCCTCTGAGAACTCGTTTTCACCACCTATCAGCAATTTTTCTTCTCTCGCCTCAAAATCCCTAAGAAGATCGAGACAACAAGAGACTTGCAGGGGATAAAAGCTCATTGAAGGAGGATGTGAGCTGGAGGGTACTAGAGCAGCGAAATAATCAACCCCGGCTTTGCACGCCAAAGCTACTTCGAGTTTTCCAATAGGGCTATGGCTCCAGTCTTCAATTACCTTCGCCCTATGTTGCGCTGACTGCGTTTCCTCGAGATCCCGCCTCAGCTGCTCGATTGAGAGGCAGTTCGATTGAGCGACCTCTTCGGCGGCCGCTCTGAGGGCCTTTTTAGAATCAACTTCTCTCACCAAAGTAGTCAATTTCTCATCCCGATCGATGACGTCCATCT